AGCAATTCCGCGTTTCGTCTGATGAGTGTGCCGGAGGCCTAATTTTAGTCCCTTTCCTTTTCCATCCTTTTCTTAAGAGGAAAGGATGGGAAGGAAAAGTGAATTTAACGGCGAAGGAGACGCATAGGAAGGAGAAATGTCCTCTTTATGTGCGTCTCCTCCTCCGTCAATTAAGGGTAGGCAACGCGTCTGTAATTGCGGATGTCTATAGGCAGCGGTCGCTTTCCATTTCGGTGGATTCAGGTGGCCGCTTGCTCGTTTGCCACCTTATATTATTTAAAAAAAAAGTTTTATCGTTCCGTTTTAATAAAAAATACTCGCCTCTAAATTTATATAGGATAAGAAAACATTAAATAATTCGTTTTTTTTTTATAGTACATTCTCTTGTTGAATTGCAAGCACTCAAGTTACTCAAAAGCATCAAAAGCATTTCCAACCAAAGCGAGCTACGCTTTAAACCTAATAGTGGTACCTATGCATCTCTTGAGAACGCTTAAAATTGTTCGAGGCTTTCATATTTAAACATGGAAATAACCTTTTCCGTTGAAAAAAGTAAAAATATTACAATACTTTCACATTACAGACTCTGAATAAACAAGACGTAATAAATCACGTTTATGATATTAAGTAAAGCTAAAATTAAATGTTTTTTTTTACGTTAACATATCAAAATTTAACATAATTGGTGTTTAAGAACGAAAGATTATTATAGAGTTTTAATAAACAAATTTAGAAGCTTAGGACAATATAAATTTAGCCAAAAATAGTTAAATAACACCAGAATAATTAATGTTTCTCACCGTTAATATAAAATAATAAATAGTCACTTAAGCACTCACTAACTGTAACGTTCAGTAACTTAGACCGGAAGTGGGTGTCGTGGTAGAGGCGGCACACGCGCTGCGCCCGCGACTCTCCGCTCTCAACTGCAATAACTTAATTCGCGGACTCGTCCAAGTTGTGTCAGCTTCAGCAACTAAGGGTGAGTTGCATCAAATCGCTGGTTATCGTAAAAGTTATAATAGGGCTACAAGTGCAAAAACATATTCTCACAGAGGTTTTATGTGTTTTTCGTTTTTACAATGGAAACATTTAAACCTGAATGTCACTAAAGTGTCAAGTTGGTGTCAAGAATGACATTTACGTAAATTAAAATGTTTGGAAATTCATGTTTCGCCGATTATATTTATGTATCATACGCATGGTATTTTATAGTGAAATATACTTTTTGCCCACGAAGATGGAGAAAATGGAAAACTCTTGTGAAAATAAACTAGTTTGGGCCATTATTGAAACTGTATTTACTTTACTACTCAAATATGTAGCAAAAATGAAGCAATAAAATTATACAAATATAAATGCATCTTATTTATTTTCCATATTATAAATTGTCCTGTCAATGCATATTATAAATTGACCTTTTATGGAGGACATTTATTTAAATAAGAGAAAAGGGACAAGCGCTGTTGCTATGGCCTTAGACACTCGAAATTTGTCCAAACTTAATGTTTGGCCAAATTTCGAGTTCCATCTTGGAAATCCATTATTTCCGAGCACACAAGACTTTATTCTTCTGGATTACGTATAGGATAATAGTAGAGATTTTCTTTTTCCATTACTTTTTCCATTATTTGTGCTTTTGAAGATAAGAGCTTGTGACAGTTGACACTACCGAACTGACACTAACCGTAACGCTAACTATAACCGCCCAAAATCGGGCGGTTATGATTAGTGTCAAATATGACGTCATTTTGACCAGCGCAAAACTGGTGTAGCGAATATCATGAACATCCGAAGACGTAACCATCGGGAATGTGCTGGTTAAGGTTTATAGTTAGTTAATGTAACTCATCCTTAGTAAATTTTAAGGTTATTCCAAATATTACTGTTACAAATAATTTTAACTTTAACGGTAACCGGCGATATGGTGCAACTCACCCTAAGTGATATTACTACAGCTTTTGTTTTGCCATTGTAATATCAATAAACATATTTTCCACACCTTTAACTTAGCATTTACATTTAACATAATAACATTTTGACCTTAACTAAAAACATCCTTCTACACTGTTCAATAATTTATTTCGTTAAATACTTAACTTATAAAACATGTACAAGCAAATTAAAAAGAAAACATTTATTACAACGCCATACTTAAGAAGCTTGTAATAAAAAAGCTCAAACAATGTCGATAAAATCTCTCACTTTTAATTAATTTTCATTTCTATTAGCAGATAATAATTTGTACCGTCTTTTTTGAACTGGGTTTTATTTCAAAGTCTCTACTCGTAGGTAAAAACATTTGATCAAATGTATTATGATTTTCAATTCACTGAACAAGTTCAAGTAGAGCGTCGGTGGCTCAGTGGTTTGAACACTTGACTTGTAATCTGCAGGTCTTGGGTTCGAATCCCACCATGTACCAATGTGATTTTCGATTTTTCGAATTTTCATATGTACATAATTTACCCGACGTTCTTACGGTGAAGGAAAACATCGTGATGCAACCTGCACATATCGGCGAAGAAATTCAAAGATATGTGTTAAGTCAACCAATCCGCACTTGGCCAGCGTGGTTGACTATGGCCTAGTCACCCCATATTAGGGTAGGCTCCGAGCTCCTCGGTGGGAACGTATAGTGAGCTGGTTATGTGAACAAGTTCAAACATAACTTTGTAGAGATATATCTTGACAAAGATTGACGTTAAGAATAAATACTTCAATCATAATAAAAAAGCCTTCAAAGGTAATATTTTCACGGACGTGTAGGATTTTCTCAATGACAGCATCATGTATAGTGCTACATTGTTATCTGGCCCGGTAAGAGGCACTCTTATCGCGTTTAATTCTGTCAGAGAATATGTGAAAATAACTTTGATTTTCTGTAGAAAACTTACTTTCTTTTAAATTAACAAGGATATTAAAAAGTATAATTAAAAAAATGTTATATTTATGAGTTAGTGAAGAAAATTTGATCTAGGAAACAGGAAATTGTTTTCCTACTAAATATTTCTGGAAACCGCGCAGAATCCTTAGAATGTTTGCGGTAAAAGGATACAATTTCCGTGTGCTAACAAATTTATTAACGCATTGTTAGATTTTCCGAAGAATCTAACACATTAATTTTATAACAAAAGGGATATACATTATATTGTAGAATAAATATTTCAAAACAAATAAGACAAATTGTAGATTGTAATCTACACTAACTGTTGCTCGCTGCTTCGTCCACTCAAACACTCACACAATTAAAAAAATCTAATCATACTAATATTATAAATGCGAAAGTTTAGATGGATGGATGTTTGCTAGAGTTTGTAGCCTAAGCGGCTAAACCGATTTCGATGAAATTTGGTATAGATGTAGAGGATAGTCTAGAAGAACACATAGCATACACACTTTTGTTGTGTTTTAATTCCACACGGACGAAGTCGCGGGCGAACGCTGGTTATTAATTAAAGCCTATGTTCCTCAATAATTATGTAGCTTTATTATAGTGCAAAAATCTTTCAAACCTGTTAAGTAGTTTTTGAATTTAGTCGTTACATACAAACTACATTTCTTTCCTCTTTGCAATTTTAACTAAAGTTTGTCTTTCATATTATAGTTTTAATAATAAAAGATACAAGATATTCCTTTTTTTATTATTCTTTAACATACTATTGGAATATACTTATTTATTACATTATAACTTTAGACATTTCTTCTACAAATATGTGATTTACAATGCGTCGTTGTTCCAAGAACACTTGCTACACGGCTGGAATGGATATGATGTAATGTTTTTGCAATGAAAGTAGTTAACTTACGTAAACGATATTTGACGACCGAAGCATCATAAAGGTCATATGCATCTCTCGGGCTCACATATTCCATTTTTGAATTCCATACTCGTTAAGGATTTCACTTTTAAAATATCCGTCTGGAATACTTTTAGCTCTTTGAGTACATATTTTCACTATGAGAACTAGGCTTCTAACCGCTGAATGAATATAGACGTTGATTGCTTTCGATTGCTCTGATATAACGGTAATACAAACCAAAGGGTATCAATTTACGTCTCAGACACCGTATCGTTATACGTATTTTAAATATATTGTCGAAACTTGAAAGCTCAGAAGTTACTTGTTCTGTAAACAAGAGAGAATAACTTTGGTCGTTAAATTTTCGTAATTTTTAATTCTACTGATTTAAAAGTGATGTTAAAACAAAAATTACCAAATACTATATGTTTGATATGGGGAAATTGCACGAAAATTAGGATGACATGAAACGTCATTAACAAAATTTGTGCGAGTTTATATCCGATAGGAGCGCTACAAATTAAATTGAAAAAACTAAACATTTCATTTCAACGACGTTATTTTATTTAAAACTTTCGTGCTAGGCCCCCTGTTTTTACTTTCTACCGAAATCCGAACTAGTGATAAGCGTCAGCTGGAATACGTCAAAGTTTATTCAAAACAAACAAATATTTCCGACGACCTTTAAGTTATATCTTTGTCTTTCAATATTTAACTTCCTTAGTTCTACACTTCTCCGATTCTCGAGAAACTTGTCAAAACGTTTCGTTACTGAGGACTTTGTCGATTTCACGATAACTTAGTCGAGATATATTTACTGGATATGAAACTTTTGTTAAAATTCTCCTGCTTGTTTATTCGATACTTTTGCTGTCTTACTGCCATTTATAAGGTAAGTTATTATTGTCCAAAAAAATCATTTAATACTTATTATTTTGTACTTAAAATAAACGTTCTTTTTTAATATGTAGTTAAAATTTACTTCCAAAATATCTGGAAGTAAATATTCTTTAGAGTTAAAATAATACTTAAATAAGAGTTACGTATTCGTGTATAAATTTATTTCAATGATAAATTACATAGAAGGGATGTGATATTACATTTTGCTATCATTCAGGGAATTTATGTTATAACTTACAATTGGTTATAAAGTGACAAATGTTAACAATATATATTCCACAGCCAATATTTGTCAAAATATTACAAATATTGTTTTCGTATAACAAAGTACTTAGTATTAAAGAGCATTTTAATAATAGATTTGTTAGATTGTGAATTAGTATTACAGCTGTTCTTCAATTTAATTTAGAGTAGAGTTTTTCTATGAATTTTAAAGACATAGTTTCAGGATAAAATCAACGCCTAGATAAATATATGAGCAATCAAAATTAATCAAAAACGTTTTAGTTTTTATTCTCATTATTACATTAACGTTATCTCGATAACAGTGGGCTTACATTGCAATATTTTATTTAAATCATTTTGATATCTATTTCAGAGATGATGTAATACGACAATGTGATTTGATACATCGTTTCATGAGTAGTTACGAAGAATTGTAATTTTTAAAAATAAAAAGTTCAACACCAAAATGTCATATCAAAAACAAAACAACAACTCAAGGTTCTGTGAACATTTTTTCCGAGGATTTGCTGGGTCTTGAGAAAATAATTCTGGGAAGCACCGTTCTCGACGTTCTCATAGCTTACTAAGTTAAAATATATTTAATACGACTAATTAACTGTATAAATAAAAAACAACTGTAGACAATTAGTTATAATTTAAAAAAAACTAATAGAGCCAGGTTTTGATTCGACCTCTATTGTTATAATTTTCAAAACATTTATTAAATTAAACAATGTACTATTTAGTTTTTTTTTTAAATAACAACGTAAAGTAAACAATCATCGGCTCAAAGAAATCGATCTCAAGTCCGGTGCATCAAAACCGGACATCAATTACGCAGCCAATGTTACTGTGACTTGATAAATATGGGTTTGTCGATTTTGTAATCTTCTGAGAGTTGAAAGCAAGTGACGTTCGCCTTTCACTGCATGCGAACAATTGACCGAATGTGTCTGCTCATTTCCTCATAAACATGCAATCGATTTTAACCTTTATAAATAACAGCCTTAGATCATAGAATACTCTGCGTGTAATATAGTCTTAAAGACATTTATACTCTATCTATTTTACCATTATAAGGTCGCTTTGAGGACGAGAAAAATACTTGATAGTTTTTTCGCACGTGTAGTGCGATAAATTTCGCTTGAGTAAACAGTGGCTCAAATTGTTTTGCTACTAACGCTATGTATTAATTACGTAATAGGTGTTGAAGAGACATATATACAAAATTTTTTAAAGGTAACATTTTTTTATATTATACGGTGGCAAACGAGCAACGGACTCAGGTGTCCGCTTGCTGCGGATTCGACGCAAGAGGAGATAGGATATTTCTCCTTCCTATGTGTCTCCTCCACCGTCAAATACACTTTTCCCTCCCATCCTTTCTTAAGAAAAGGGTGGAAAAGAAAAGAGACTAAAACAAGGCCTCCGGCACCACACAGATCAGACGAAATGCAGAATTGCTCCCACTTCACGCCTGTCTTCTGTGTGGTCGTGGTATTACACCTGGCGAGCCGGCCTATTCGTGCGAAGATGTTAAAGCGGGCTCTACCACTTTAATAAAAAAACAAATGGCTTTATTACAATGTTTTATTTCTATTTAGTACATAAGTTTAAGTGGCATTTTATGTCTTACAGTTTCGTGTCGCATAAATAGTAAATTAAGCTAGTTTCTATCCAACTTATCTTACGGCACATTTAAGCACGCTCAAAGGGATTAATTTTCCGCTACATGGTGTTAAAGGCTCTTTAGCAATTTCTAAGTACTATTTTTGTTTTTTCGTTACTTTTCACTTTCTTATTTTATATTGTGTTTGTTTATAATTGTACAGTTTCCACATTTAGTTTAAGGTATTATGGGACTGACATTTTCTAAGGAACCAAAGTCCCATTAAAATATAAAGAGGAAAAAAGGGATTAATTTCAAAGATTTTTCAAAGTGCGCTTATCTTGTATTAAGTCTTAAGAAACTAAAGACCAACGTAATAAAATTGCTAGCTGTTATTTGTGTGACCATCCTTTGTACCATCTCTGTAAATTGAACACGACATAAACACTGTATTAAAACGATAACAAACATTTTCAACATCTTTTTAAAGATGAAAGCTTTCTACATACAATGATATTAATTTACCAGAAACAAAGTTATTTTACAAATTAAATTGTCGTACTGTTGTTTATTCGAACGATCCGTTCTTCAATTACAATGTTATTTGCAATGGATTGGAAAAATTAAATTATTATTTTACATTCATTTTAACCGGATAGTTTGTAAACTAACTATTTGATTGCTAAAAAAAAGAGAAAAAATGAAAACAAATAAATGACTATAAACTAGTTCAATCTTAAAATAGTTTCAGAGTTGTTGTAGTTGGAATGTTAAATAAATGTATTTGAAAGCAGGAATAGTCTAAGAAAAAAGAGTCGCACAAGCGTGTTAGTTTCATCCATCCAGTTGCACGAAACATTTTTTACTCAATTCTTTTTTACTTCTATCACACTAGACTTTATTTATTATTAATTGTAATGGTGTTTATATAATTTGAAGTTGGTTCCGGGTGTAAAATGCCTTTCTAATTCCGTCACTGTTACGACAGTTCGAGTAACGAGGGGAAATCTTTTAAATGATGGCGTGCAACTAATATTAGTGAGAGATTTATTAAAAGTTATTGTATTGCCATTGCCTATGCAAATAACTTAGAGTGGCAATATAACTTGTGAAGTTATTAATTGGCATAAGTAAACAGCACATGACGTTCTTAAATTCAACGTATAATTCTTAAATTCGATGTTATAAATCTATGATAGATATAATAACATCGAAGTGTCCGTTTGTGATATCAAAAAAAATCCAGATTTCGGGAAGATGATGTATTTGCGTTGCTGATAAAGAAAATTCCATTTAATTTTTTTTGTCTGTCTGTCTGTCCGTAAACTACGTTTGTTCCGGATAATCTCTTTCTTTCCGACTTTCACTGAAGGGTAGCTGAGATAGACGGGCATATTATTGGCACTTTTTATATTAATATTGCGTGAACGAAGTCGCGGGAAACAGCTAGTGTTAGATCACATTGTAAGGGTTATAAAAAAAATAATTTTAATTTCTCCTGTCTATTAAAATGTTATTGCAGTTTCAGATAATCGTTTATTCAATTTCTTAGATTCATTTATTATTGTTACTATTGAAGAGAGGTATGTAAAAATCTATACTAATATAACAAAAGCGTAAACACTCATAACATACTTCGTGGCGTACGATGTCAGCAATCAGAGCATATTTTTAAATAATTCTTTCCTAAATAAAAAGCCCTACATTTACAACAAGCTATAGGATATATATTTTCACGCTATTATACTTATGGGGTCAATAAATTGGAAAAAAACCTTCATGTAGAAAGGGAACATAAACTACAAGCTGCTAACATTAAGAAACGGTAATTTTGATATTTGCAATTAAGGATTTGACAAATGTAAACATTAAAGTTTTCAAAATTTCATGCGGATGAAGTCGCGCGGGAACAGCTAGTTAAGCATAAACGTAACAGTTGAACCATGAAAATAATCTTACATAACTCGAGTTATTGGAGCAAACTTCGTACTATTCAACTGGAAACAAAACTTACGCAGTTATTATGAGTTATGATAAACTTATTAAATTCAATAGATTTATGTTTGCGTAAATTACACATAAGACACATATATAAGAACGGCGCTATTTTTTATAACAAAACACAATACTCTTTTATTAATTTTATACACATGCGTGTGCAAATCCAAATATCCTAACTGTTAAATTATTTGAAACAAAGACTAAAAAATGTGAACAACAAACACCCTAAATGTTCTTTCCGTTTCAGTAAGTCTAAAAGTTCGAGTAGTAAAATAAAAACTATTTAAATACGTCGTAGTCTTTGACTCCAAAAATCAAACAAAAGGACCCACCTGCAAGCAGTAACTTTCGGATAAAAAAGAAATTATCAAAATCGGGACACTAGCGGCAGAGTTATGCCGTAACACACATAAAAAAACAAACAGTCGAATTGAGTACCTCCTTCTTTTGGGAAGTTGGTCTAAAATGCTTTGGCCTAATGCTAAATAATTAGTTGTTAACACAGGTTGCGTTAAATGCATTTGAAAATTGCAAACTTCTATTAAAAAGGATAGCCTAATGATTAAGAGTACCAGCAGATCGTTAGTGGGTTCGAAAGCCGTTCGATTATTATTTTAAACTATATAAACAACATGTAGAGTTAAAATGGTTACTAAAAAAATTCCTAATTGTGACTTATCCTTCAGTTTTTCAGAATATAGAAATGTCGATCGAAACTCTTCTATTATTGCAAACAGCTTACTGATCCGATTAAAACGACAAAAAGGTTACTTTAGTTTTTTGTTAATCTCGCAATCTCAGATTACTTAAGCAATGTAATCTTACCTATCCAAGAAGGTTGGCAATGTTTCGGTTGAAGCTTGATTTAACAAACGTGTACCAATGTTTTAATTACAATAAGACCATTTCATTTCAATTTACACTGTGATAGTTTATGTTGTAATGCACATTTTTCTGTGGAAATATTCCTGCTGTCAGGGAAAAAACGTACAATGATGTATTTGTTGATTCTACCCATATTAATTAAATTATATTTTTATTGCCAATTATAATAAAGTTGATGATTCTAATTTAAATAAATAGCCTTTAAGCATGAAAAAGCAGTTATCATCACCAAATCTCCTTTTTTTAATTAAAAGATTGAGTTGTTAAGAAAACTTTTTTTGTTCATGTTTTGTGTTAATGTTTTTAATTTATAATTATACTACAAAAATATGGTTAACTTAAGTTCAATAAAATGTAACTTAAATATAGTATAAATATTGTTATTTAGGTATCACAACATTGAGCAATTTACTCAACAAATATAGTCGAAAAGTGCTTCTTGAATTTGTCAAACTTTCCCTCGCTTATAAGTATTTTCACATCACAGTTTAGGAAGTAATGTTTTTCCTTTAAAACACCTATTACTTTTAAGCTATCTACTTCGATAATAAACAAATAAATAAATGTTGAATTCAATAAATTGTATGATTTTATTTTAATTGTATTATTTATTTTATCTTTATACACACACGTGCGCCTACCGTTATAAATTTTCATCAAACATTCCGTATACTTTGCTATTCTTACTTGCAGGCGTTAAAAACTTTTCCCTGTTATATAAAAGAGTCGTAGTGTGTCTGAAAGCTCTCTTTGAACCATTTTATTCTAGGTGAGTGGCAAAGGAAAGTTGCAACCTATATACATTTGAAACAATAAAGAAATATGAATATAAAATCGATGCATTATTCTTAAAAAATGGGAGATTTTAAAAATCAATAAAACCACATTTACATTTGTATTCAACATTTCTTTTTATTTAATATAAAAAGTGTTATTAATAATTTAGCTACCTTAATTAAAGCTTACTACTAGCGTTGGGTTGTACTGTACAATCGAATTTAAATTCTGTTATCAGTCTATACTAATACATTTTAACAACCGGACAGAACCTGTACTTTAATCACAATCATTTTGTTTCATCATTAATTCCTTCAATGTTTAAATAAAAAAAAACTATAGACGGCAACGCGTCTGCCTGATGATTACCATGACCATGTTGTTGAAGCTCTGAGCCCTCTTCTCTATTAAAAAGAATATTGTTTATAGTACAAGATGACAAAAGAGCGAGTGGGCATCTTAAATCGACTATGTTGCATTTGTAGAAGCGTTGTCTATCTATAATTGACAGAGGGAATGCACAGAAATAGGACGTTTTCCCTTGGTTTCCTGAATCTGTAACTTAATTTTTGTCATCACTAAAGGACTCTGAGAGCGATAAATTTTAATTTATCCAGTAACATTATAATGAACTTCGTGATTTCCCGATAAATCTTCTATCATTCCAATAATAGACACGTAGGAGCCAGATACTAAAGCTATGATCGAAATAATAGAGATTATGGTGTTCTTGATAACGACGTAGTTGAACTTCCCGAGGTCTCTATCCCAGAGGAACACGGTGTCCACGACCGCGGGGACGAGCAAACCGAGGGTGGAGAAGAAGATAGCCCCGGCGAAACTGATGACCAACTCTAGATTCGGGAAGGCGGCAGCGATTGCAACTGTGAAAGAATATGATTTAAAATATTCATACATTGCTCAATTAATAATTCATTTATAAGAGAACTGCATATGAATATTAAAACGGCATATTTAATATTCTTCGTGCTTGATCTACACAAAAGGTACCCCGTAGGTACTAATTAAAGATTGTGAGTTTGGCAGTATGTCATAATTTTCGTTCCCTTACATACATGTAATACATACAAGTATTATATCCCTTACATACAAGTATTACAATACTTGCACATGTTTAGAACTCAATGTTAGTTAAACAGACGTTAGTATTTATTCGCTCTTTTACCTATTTTCCGATTATTTTAATTCATCGTTTCGATAAACACAATGCATAATATTATCATACTAATATTATAAATGCGAAATTTTAGATGGATGGATAGATGGATGTTTGTTAGAGTTTGGAGCCTAAACGGCTGAAGGGATCTCGATGATTTTTATTCCGCGCAGACAAAGTCGCGGGCGAAAGCTAGTAAGCCATAAAACTCACCGCTAACTGTCACAATGATTGTTCGGATACTAATTTGAATGACGTTTTCGAATTTATTTGAACTCCTGTTTTGCAACATTCTGTTTACCATCTCCATTGGCACGTAAAATTGTAAGGCGTAAGAAAAGTATATAACAATAGCCATTATCAACTTTGCACTTTGCGCCACTCTGAAATAAATAGCAATATAACAAGTTATGAAAAGGTGGAATTAATCATTTATTTTCATTTCATAGCGAATTTGTTTATAAAATAAGAAATATTTTCACTAATGTTATCTAACAAAGATATAAATATTCGAAACTTCGGACTATTGTATTTTAATCTTACTAATATTATAAATGCGAAATTTTAGATGGATGTTTGTTAGCGTTTGTAGCCTAAACGGCTGAACGGATCTCCATGAAATTTGGCACAGGTTTAGAGCATAGTCTGGAAGAACACATAGGCTACTTTTTATCCCTGGAATAGTTACGGTTCCCGTTGGATTCATTAATTTAGTTTTTTAATGTTTACTCGATCATTCTGCAACGGTTTAACATATCTTATTGAAATTTGGCACAGATGTAAAACAAAGTCTAGAGTATACATGGGATAAGCTTCATCCCCGAGAAATGTCTGGTTCCCGAGGGATACTTAGATTTTTGTATTATAATTTATATAGTTTGTATGCTTTCTAATACCACGCGTACGAAGTCGCGGGAAACAGCTCGTGCATTATAATTTGTAGAAGCAAACTTACATTTCATCCTGAGGTAGATTGAGTGTGACGCTACCTTTGACGTCATCACCGTACTGCACATAGCCAAAGAAGCCAACAAATCCGTACAAAGTGATGACAATTATCATAGCTGTATTCCACACGCCGGGGCATCCAAGGAACTTTTGAGGCTTAGCCATTTCGTTCTCTACAGGCATCACAACGCCTATACCTTCCATAGCGAATATAACGGTACTGCAAATGATAGCTTAATTTAGAATATAATTTTATATACCTTGTATCTTTAAAAGGAAAGTGGCTAAAGCCCTAGTTTCCATACGTTTGGATAGGTTGGAAAAGTTTATGACGTCACTATATAAATAGACGATATTGTTTTAATCAATTTTTCGTATTTATAAATTACCTCAAAAACAAAGGCCACTGAGATACATTTGCGACCATTTCTCGGTCAGTAATCGGTGGCAAGTCCACGAACACGTAGTACAGGGTGATAATGAACACGATCACAATGAGTACATTAGCGAACGCTGAGAACGGCACTAAGTACTTCAAGTTCCTGATCTGACAGATCAGTACCAGTGGTACTAACGTCAGGGCGCAGTACGTCTGTATGGACAGTTGCAAGCTGGGATAGTACACGTCCAAAACCTTAAAACAAAAGATGACGAAGGTTTAAAAAAGTTAACATTTTGTAGTAAAATATATCTCTATAGAATCTCACATAATAAAATTTTTACAAGTGAGATACTTAAATCAAAAAGAGTAGACATACATCGAATTTAACAGTGGTAGCGCCCGCTTTAACATCTTAGCACGAATGGGCCGGCACGCCCGGTGTAATACCACGACCACACAGAAGACAGGCGTGAAATGGAACCAATGCCGTGTTTCGTCTGATGAGTGTGGTGCCGGAGGCCTAATTTAAGTCCCTTTCTTTATCACCCTTTTCTTATAAGCGGATGGGAAGGGGAAGTGGATTTGACGATGGAGCAGATGCATAGGAAGAGGAAATATCCTCTTTATGTGCGTCTCCTCCACCGTCGGATAAGGGTAGGCGACGCATCTTTAATTGCAGATGTCTATGGGCAGCGGTCGCTTCGCCATTTTGGCGGTTTCAGGTGGCCGCTTGCTCGTTTGCCATCTTATGTTATAAAAAAAAGAATTGAGTATTGTTTCCTTTTATCAATCAAGCAAAAAGTTGACATGTGATGAATGCCTATTTCTTTTACCTCGATACGTGATCGTACGAATTTGTAATCTCTACCCACCTTCCTGTATCACCGGCGTCCTTACTTTTATCAATGTGTAATCTTAATAAACAAGCAGACAAAACACCGGCTTTAAAAAATAACATGTCATCCACAAACACTGGATTTGCTTATATGATAGCATTTGTTGTAGGTAAAGTAAACAGCTAGGCGTTTTAATTTATTTAGTTTAAGTAAAACGTTTTTTTCCGTCTTGTAAGGCATGGATTGTATGAAGGTATAATTAAAGAATGACTCCACACATGAAACTAACAAACAAAGGATTTAGTGAAAGTTTGTAATGATCAACACTATGAAATTATTGATAAGAAAGTTTGTTCTGAGATTTGTAAAGTAGCACAACATTTGGTTTAGATTGATGTCTAGACAGTAGAGATGGATCAGTGCATGGAAATTTTTATGAATTCAAACCAAACATAGCTAAGGATCAAAGAGGTAGCAACGGTGGGGCAGTATGGGGTGCTTGTCCAAGGTATCTAAACCTTCTAAAATTATTCTGAATCAGTGACTGCACTGTACTGGCATAGGCAGAGTCAAAACTAAAAAAATATCAAGGTACTAATTACAATTTAATATCCTTAAGAAAGATAATCACACAGTAGACATTGACACAAAAATGCAAGGATGTCGATATCAATACCATTTCGGTAAGTAAATTGCTAAGTGGTAAGATACAATCTTTATAAATAATCCTATAATTAAAAACATTATATGAAACAGGAAATTCTAGAAGTTGAAACAAGGCAGCACGCGCTAAAACACGAGCGACAGCTTGTATACTTTGACATTAATCTGATTTAGATAATAGTTTATACAAACCTCCTTAAACGACGATCCAATAAAGACGACATAAACGCAGAGCACACTGAAGTAGGTTAAAAACAATGAATAATCTATTAACGACCTAAAACAAAAAAAGACTTTTAATATCTTGTCACAGTAAAATTATTTACAAAATAATTATTGTAGTATAAGTGATAAAATCAAAAAAGATAATTATTGATGACGAACGAAGTGATTTTAATTAAACGATTTCAAGAAATCTAAATTATAACAACTTTCAAAGTAAAATTTAACATAAAACAGTTCATTGGTAAAAACATAAACCATTATTTTTAATCATACAATACTATCTGAAAAATAGTAATAGAAAATAAATTTTACTTGATTGCTCCTCCCCATGATCGCATAGATTTTGGTCCGTACGTAAATGCCGCGCCGCAGGTCTCAGCAAAACTCATCGATGGTTTTTTCGCAATCACGCATAATTCCTGCGATGCTCTTACCTTAAAATTGAAACAGTATTTTTAACTTAAGACAATAAAATAACATTCAGAAAAGCTAGCAGTTTATTAACAGCAATTTTACTAACATACAGTGATTTAGGCCACAACAATAACATCTGTTGCACGAATTAGCTGAAAACAGACATTAAGTGGGAGCAAATGCTAGTGACTTCTAATATGTTTGTGTGCTAGAGGCCTAGTTTTTGCCCTTTTTACTTCCCATCCTTATCTTTTAAGGAAGGGATGGGAAAGTTCTTTTTCTGTGAGTCCTGTGAGACGACTAAACGTAGACAACGCATCAGGAAATATTTCATTAATCTGGTGAATTTAATAGGATGCTTTACTATATCCATCTTATGCTCCAAGATGACAAAAATGATCAGTTATTCCAAACTATGAATGTAAATAATGTTATTAAAGAGTAATAAAATCACAAAAACAGCTCTCAAGAACTACACGGAAATACTCCTGGGAATATACAATTCAAGACTAACAAAAATTATTCTGTATTTCTTGAGTTTTCCAAGTTTTATGTTTTTTATTAGTATTACTTATTAAAACTAAGTATAAATTCTCATAGAGGACTTCAACGGGTATATTTTAATTAGAATATAAGGAATTTTATAACTCACCAAAATATGAACAGTATGTGTACATACAAAGCCTGCTAAAATGGTCCCTATCAATCCTGTGACTAGACCAGAGTTCTTAAATGCAGCGGGCATAGCCAGGATTCCGGTACCGAGGCATGCCTTGAGGAGATGTAGAATAGACCCAAAAGTGCTGAAAAAATAGACAGCATTAGGAGATGTTGTAAAAAAAGTATGAAATCCGAAGATATAGTCCCAGATTTACGAAATTGATAGTGACTAACCTATGCTTTACCTTTTACTACCGTTTTATTTCTTCTTTTCTGTACACTTATATTATTCACAAGTCTTTCTATATTCTCTTTTCTTGGTCTTCCAAGTATTAGAAGTTTAAAAGCATTGCTTTTAAAGTATTAAGTTTTGATCAATACTTACGAATTTGGATGTGCTACTTCGCGGTGTTCAAAAGGATTGTACGGCTTGTCATCTTTAATATCTTTGGAAGATATGCTCAGAGACGATGGGAAACCTGCATTTGTTGTTAAATTTGCGCTGCAATAAAATGTAATGTTTATTTCCTTAGTTCATGAAATAACACCATATCAATCAAGATCGAGCTATCACAAATATTTTAGATCCCTCATATACGTATTATTTCAAGGAAATCACTATGACTGTGTGAACGTAAGAGATAATAGTTTACATAAATCAAAATAATTATGTCTTCTGATTTCAAATATTTTGGTCATCGGAGATATAAAAATAGTTTTACAATTGGATTTAAAACCCTAAGGCTAACGACATGAAATTTGTTACGGCCCGATCACATTGAATAAAATATACGAATGAGCTGAAATTATGATGGCTGACAATCCTAGACAAGCTATTCGCACGATATTTACCGTGCTGTTTACCAAAGAGTGTTTAAAAAGAGCGTGTGCACACTTTTGACTAACAATCGCACAACCGTTTCATGTTGCATTGATTCCTATGAGCTTATATGGTGTGAAGAGGCTGCGAAACAATCGACAATCACACAACACTGCGATAGTTTAGTCAAAGCTGTGCTCACGCTCTAAGCATACCATTAATAGTTAGTAATAGCTATTTTTTATAATATAAGGTGGCAAGCGGCCATCTGAATGGAATTTCCGACATTTCCCCTTCCTATGAATCTCCTCCACCGACAAATCCACTTTTCCTTCCCATCCTTTCCCCTTAAAAAAATGGTGGAAAGGAATAAAATTAGGCCTCCGGCACCAAACTCATTAGACGAAACGCGGAATTGCTTCCACTTCACGCCTGTTTTCTGTGTGGTCGTGGTACACCGGGCGAGCCGGCCCATTCGTGGGAAGATGTTAAAGCGGGCTCTACCACTGTATTTGCCATGACGTTGAGGTTAGACTTTTTTGTTATGTCATTCACACTGGTTGAATACACGAATGAGGAGCAACGTGAATGGGGTATAAATAACGGATAAAAATTACCGTCCGATAAGTGATTGAATCTCCAATACAAAAGGAGTATTGTTCTGAATAAAGCAAGTAATATGAAGCAATGGTCGAAATGCTTTTGATGTTACGGTGAAAATGTATTTACATTTTTTAAGCGGCTTTACGAATTATATGAATTCAGGTATCGGAAAACTGAAAGAGGATTTAATTTTAGCGAATATTTTCTATAGAACGCAGTTGAAAGAAGGAAATTGATTTGAAAGAGATGAATTCACTGCAGTAATTCCTAAGAAATAGTAATTTTGTTATTTAAAATAATAAGCAACCGCTTGTTCGATTACTAACTTTAAACTTACTTATATTGTAAAATGGAAACTTTGAAGAGATCGATATTTGCTAAGAGTTTGTAATCTAGACTGCTGAACGGATGTCGATAAATTTGGCACAAATGTAAAACATAGTCTGGACCACATAAGCTACCTAATTTTTTTTTAATTCCGTGCGAACGGTGTTACCGGCGAAAGTTAGTTAAGTATTAATTATGGAAGTTTGGATTGATGTTTGTTTACACTAGCGGATCGGATATGGCAGAGCACATAGGTTTCTTACGATACTGCGCGGACGGATTCACAGGCATTTAGTTTATAAAACAAATAAAAATAAAACATACAATCAAAGTATACGTAATAGTAGAATGAAACAAGTGAATGAAGCATGACTAAACTTGAAAATATTTAAAGTACAAAGATCATCAGTACAAAAGGTTCCGGTCGACTGAACTCTCACGTAATTCCATAGAAAATTTCAAGGTAAACAATTGATAGAAATCTTAATTCATTTCTATTATACCGACCTACACAATACTTTACAGTACAATATAAAGAAGGCTGTGGAACATTAAATTAAAAAAAAAAAGTTCAGGTGATGATTTCATGCTGTTATTAAGTACGCGTAAAGACATGTTAGAAAGGAGAATATCAATTTCGACTATTTCTTAGTTAATAAAAACCATGTTTTCCTATTCTATCTAACTACTAGCTGTTCCCGTGCGACTTCATTCGCGTGAAATTATGAAAATTGTTTTATTGTTTACATTTGACAAATTTTCAATAGCAAATGTCAAAATGATATAACATGACAAACCTCGGCAATCTTGCTTCCTTGATGTTGGCAACAACTTATGGTCTCTTTCCTACAATAGGGTTTTTATCCAAAATATTTACCCACTAAGTTTAATGGCGTGAAATATATAGCCTATGGCGTGACCTGAGTGTAGAACTTTTTATTAAAGAAAGAATTATTCAAAAAATGCTGTAATTGCTGACATCTTAGGCAATAAAGAAGTGTGTGTTTACGCTTTATCATAATAGTATAGATCTGCAGGTAAATTATACTTGCATTTGTACAATTTTGACTTATATTAAATTAGTTAATACGTTTTAATCTGTGGCTTAAATAGATTGCTTCTGTTTGATATTTAATACAGATTTTGTTTGGGAACAAACTACTAAAGTTATGAAAAGAAAAGTATTTAATACTTATAATTAAAAGGCGACATTGATTTATTCAAAGTGAACATGACGTATTGAAAAGACTTCTCCTTTTCAATGTTCGTGTAAATGAGGTGCAAAAGATATGAAAAGACCTCAAAGACTTTATTTATTTGTATTCTCCGAGTTAGTAAATTGGCCCTTCAATAAGGCTGATAAAGGTTCTACAAATATATTGCGATACATTTAATGTAATGAAAATCTTTCGCGTTCTGTTACGCATTTATTTACAAATGCCGAAACATCATTCTTAAACTTTGGATCTTAAGGATAAGAAACAAAGTCTAAAATTGAATTGCGACTTCAAGTCATGAACACGAATAAGGGCGAAAGAAGTAAAATAAAAATCATCAAAAAGAACTTGTAAACTTATCGTAAAATTAAAAAAATATTCGGAGAATATTTTTTAAAGAAGATTTAAAAAAAAATAACTTACGTCGAGTTAAAGTTCTCTGACAACGATGGTTTGCTTTTCTCCTCCGTCATTATGTTTAATCTGAAAACAATAAAACAATTAACTAAAGATTGAATAAAACCTTTAGTACAAGTTTTAATAAAACTAACTATACCTATAGTCGACACTGAGTATACATGCAGAAGTAAATATGTATCCCTATACTGTCGAAAGTATAACTACAAATAACGCTTTTGGTAGACTGGCAAAATATCGTTTGAACTTGTATTAAAACGCACTTTATCTCTGTTTCTTCAATGAGTATGAAAGGGATGACAACATTTGGATATCGGTATAGGGAAACCCATCTTGTAACATAATCTATGATACTTTACATGTAGTATTGATTGATGAAATGATTGGTCAACGCTACTAGCAAACGCTTTATCAGATGAGTCTCTCAGATTATCGTAGATTAACCGTAGAGATTATTTGTTACTAACGGGACAATAAAATCTGGTGAATACTCAAAATTTTCCTGCATATCTTATCTATGTCCAATTGTTACCAGGTGCTCGATTTTAGAAACTAAACGAGAGAAAATCCGTAAAATATTTTCGGTTACTAAGAATTAGTTAGTACAAAAAAAGTACATCACTGGAATGGTCTTCTGTCAGCGAGTTACAGAGGCTAATCTATTTACCCACTTAAACGAAATTGGATGGTCTTTCTAGTAAATAATGAATTGTAGAATTTTCCAGTGGTAGAGCCCGCTTCAACATCTACGTCTGTAGTATAATAACAATAGTCTGGCTCGACCGGTGTAATACCACGACCACACAGAAAATAGGCGTGAAGTGGAATCAATTCCGCGTTTTGTCTGATGAGTGTGTTGCTGGAGGCCTAATTTTTGCCCCTTTCCCTTTCCACCCCTTTCTTAAGGGGAAAGGATGGGAAAGAAAAGTGGATTTGAGAATTTTAGGAAGGAGAAATGTCCTCTTTAAGTGCGTCTCCTCATCCGTCAATTAAGGGTAGGCAACGCATCTGCAATTGTGAAAGTTTGTTGGCAGCGGTCGCTTACCATTTCGGGAGATTCAGGTAGCCGCTTGCTCGTTTGCCGACTTTTATTATAAAAGTAAATTAAATCACTTGCAATAAAATATATAAAACAAAATAAATATGTCAGTCTGTAATCCGTACAGCATCGCTTAATAAATTTGTAGTTTTAGGATCAACAATTCAACGATATTAGGCAACCTTTATTGTACTAGATATATCTCGACGTAGATCCCTACATTTCTTATTTATCCAGACTAAATCGCTTACGCTATTACCGACGCAATAAACATTTTAGGTTACTTATTTCGGTATTTACTTTCATTCCATCCTTTATTTGTCGGTCTGTCTACATCTGCCAGTTACATATCCATTCTTTTCTTCTTAGTGTATCCTTTATCTAGATAATATTATTATTTGTAACCTATCTTTATTTTAGTTCTTATAGGATCGCAGACTTAGTGTTCTTTGGTGTTTCAAAATAAGAGTCCTTTGACACTCTTTGAGAGAACTTGTTATAGTCGCGGGCAAGATCGGTAGATTCCAAGATTTAGACATTCTTATTGGAATATTCCACACGTTCTCTTATTCTTGTAACATATACATATGTATCTATGTGTATCTAACAAGGTTTAGATTGTTTGACTGATTTTAACTTTTCTGTGTTTTTTTCTTTGCACTTAATAGTCTTATCATTTCATTTTGAAATTTCAATGTACGCTAAAAGGTTATATATTTTTAAAAGTGATTATTCCAAAGAAGGAAATACATAAAAAAATATACAATTCAATAACACTGAGTCGTAGATATGATATTGTGAATGTTCCGTTAATTTACAAATTATTTACTAGATTAATACGATATATTGAACTTTAACGCGTTTCTCGAAACTAATATAAATCACCTCACAATGTTTACACGAATTATTATCGAATTTATTTTTCGATGAAACATCACGTTATGTCTAAAATAAGAAATCGTACGTTATGTGTCACTTCAAAAAGCAAATATAATTTACTTTTTGTACGTAACACGTTTTTAATAATCACGTTTTGAATAGAACGAAAAAAATATTTTAGATTAAAATGAAGCGAGTGCTTATTCTTTTGGTTTAGATCACGTACTCTGCTGCATTTTATTCAAATAGTGTTTGTCGCTGAAGAGCGTAATAAACTCAAACTCATAATGAAGAAAGATGTTAAGAATGCAAATTTTCATTTTCTTAATGACAATTTAAATTACGTTGAATTAAAAATATACATATTGTTTTCATATTTTAAGTTACCTTAATTAATTATATTATGATAACATCAATGCTAAACGAAACATATAACTTAGGCCCTTTTTACACAAGGTGACGTAAATCGCCGCAACCAATATTTTGAAATGAATACTCGCGTCGTAAAGTTGAAATCTTTTACACGAGTCGTCTATTTGGACACTATAAACTGTGTAGATTTGCTCTGTTGACGTTGAAATCTTGTAAACTAGCAGCTAGCGAAGCATGATAGCAACTAAGGAACAATACATTGGAAAAACTTGTCTGTGTACAAACTGTAACAGATTGTATTAAGTCGCTTGGCGACTAAAATCGCCTGGTTTCGATTTACGTCTTCTCACGTACGAAAGGTCTTTTTAATCGCGGCCTTCGGGTTAACACCGGTCCAGAGATTTTATCGCTTGATTGACACACGAATCTAATCTACAGGGTCTAAGAAAATATGTTGCTATTATGTCTTTACAAATAGAAGTATAGCTTTTGATTTTAAAACGACAACAACAACGTTTTTATTCCATGAATATTAATTTCTTGGTATTATAGGATGAATCTTATAGGCATATAAGAAAATTAGAGTATCTGTTCTAAAAATACATGTTTTGAGAATACGCATTTGCGTAGATAATAACGAAAAGCCAATTTTACAAGATTCTGATGGGTCTTTGAGTGAAGGTAAATTATTTTAAGTTACATTTATATTAAAATTTGTGCCGCCAAAGTTGAGAGCGTTCGCAAGTACTTGGTTCATAAGTGTCTCGCGATTTCTGTATGGATTCGCGAAGCCTAATTTCATTGAAACAGCCAAGACCGTGTGCGATTTAACAACCGCGCGACTAACCACTAGTGGAAATAGACAGTCTCAAATCAAGTCTAATTTACGAATAATACATATTTAACTTATAACAATAAATAGACTTTCCATTACTTGACATTTAAGTTAATCATAACCTAAGTTATTTCACTATTTACTTATTTCTGTTTAATATTTAACTATGTCTTTCGACTGCATCGTCACCTCCTTCGGGTGGGATCGTGGTCAAGCGTAACAAATAATAAAAAAAATGTTCAATATTTCTATAAATGGATATGCTATGCAGATACGAATTAATACATTATTATTTACAAACAGATATTTTTAATATAAAACAAAACATTTAATATGAGGTTACAAATGAAGAAAATGTCTCGCGGAGTCGTCAATTCAGTCATGAGCTATGATATTTTTTACTTGCGCAATACATAGAAATAAATAACCTACCAGTATTATTTTTCAATCCATATAAATTGTTTACATTTGTAATTAAATCGTAATTGTGACACCGCTAAGAACGGCAATTAGTGCACATTCCTAACTGTTTACTTGTATATAGAAACCAGAAACGTACACCTAATATCGGGAGAAATACGGAATAATTTCTCGCGTACTTAGAAGGTGAAGAATTTTTTTTACTTTCGTTGACAGGCTAAAGATAAAAAAAAAATTATAACAAAGAACACGACACGTTTAATTTTTTAATACGATATTATCCTTCGGAAAAGCCGCCACAAAAATTACGTATTAATTGCTACAGATCACCTGCCTACCTATTACATGAAAAAACAATTTGTCACCGACCGAACTTTCGGTTTCGTCTTCGGCCCTAGTTTCGTCTTGAAATTCGGTTCGGTTTTCGGTTCTATGGTATAGCCGAAATTTTCGGACCCGCTGTAAATGTTCGCGAACAGTTCTACGAAAGTATAAAAGTTTGAATATATTATTTATGTATTGTAGTTTATCACTTTTTATTAATACAAGGCTAAATGAAAAGGAAAAAGTAACAATGCAAGGTTATTGATTAAAGAAATCAAACTTTGCGAATGAAAAATTATAGACAACTTCGTCTGGTTTTAAAAATAAAATGATTTTTTAAATAACAAAAAACACTATTTATGTTTAATAACGTACATTTATTAATTTAATAGGAACTACCGTAATTGTTAAAAAACAAAAAGAAATGTATAAACATTATTGATCACCTCCTATTAATATTAAATGAAATAAATTTATTAAAAACGATAAATACTCGATCAGACTTGTTCTAGATGACGTCACAGTGTGATTGTATAATGCATAAAAGAGGTAAGATAGTTAACTTATATGCCAATAAATTAATGGTGCGACTTTTCTGCACACTGTACTCATAGAAAACAGATGAGTGTATCGTACTTTACTCGCGTCGCATTGTATTACGTATAAATATGTTAATAGTATATAGAAATATTGTAAAGATTTGAATTCTTGTGTTTTTGTATTTTTGTATGTATTGAAATAACTCAAAAACTACTGGGCCGATTTTAAAAATTCCTTCACAGTTAGAAAGGTAATTTATCGTGCATATAAGTGAATACTAATTTACCCCTGACTTCGCCCGCGAAGAGTGAAGTGAAGCTTAGCCTCGGTGTTCTTCCAGACTATGTTCTACATCTGTGCTCATAAGGATTTGTTGTTCACTTTATACATAGTAAAATATCCATCCATTTATACGTCCAACCAAACATTTGCATCTATAAATTTAGAAGTAACAGCTCGTGCCGAGGCTCCTGTGGGAGCCCTCGAGATTAGTTACTCATAAACGAAGTTTAGGCTAAGCGCCATCTGCGCTCGGCCACCTCAAGCCCGGTGAATCTGTAAATGTCTCTTCAAGGCAACCAGTGTTCAGTCACAAAAAAAAAGTATAAGTTTAAAAATTATTTAGTATATTCGTGTGATTAGTACGATTGAGTTTAT